GCGGAAACGACCATAACGTTCCTTTGAAGACGAGAACGGGATGGGAGAAAGACGTAAGAGGACATTCCCGGTTTTTAATAGGAGAGGGGAATTCTTTCCGATTCTGGCGCGTCGCCAGTTCACAACGCGGGGTACCCACCAAGATACGGAGAGATAACCTTGCGTGTAACGCGCTGCGACAAACTCAAATATACCGATCCGTGCGCCGCACGCATACGTATGTGTGCATGTGCGCGCGCGTCCGCGTGCAGTTAAACCGTTTCTCGAGCTATCTCGTCGGCGATTTTGCAGCCGCTGTAACTGCCGCCGCGATAGCGCCATAGTTTCGGGAGAGCTTAGCTCGATGCCTGCGGGACTATTCGAGATTTAGTAGTTCCGTAGCAAAGTTCCTTAAACCGCGAATAACGTTGACTTCGATGTTAAGTTGGAGACGCGTGGCGTAGCGAACTCGCGAATGCACGCGTTGCGTGCGCGCATTACGCAAGTTCAATCCGGCGCATCGAAAAGAACAAGAGAAAAAATGAAAAAGGGGGAGATAACGGATCATTCATCATTCGAACAAAAGCTTCGCGTGCTCGTTAGCACTCGCAATAACGATCGCTGTCACGTGTGGGCAAACGATACTCACGCCGGCGTGAGAAGTACGAACGCGAAGTACGCCGTTACGACGAATCACTCAGCCTCGGCTTCGTCTCCGGCGTCCGCCACTCCGGCGGATAGTCACTTAACTGCTTTATTAGGTTAACTCTCCCCCACGACATGAGGTACCTCTGCGTAATTACGCCGGCGCTAATCGCCCAAGGCGTCGTACACGTGTAACAGGGATTTATTTTACCTGACGTAATACGTTTAGAATGGACACCGGCCTTATTTTCCGGCCGCTCCAACGATTACCATGCAAATCCGCGGCAAATCGCTCGGGAGATTTCTGTTTCAAGCGTAACGTATTTAATTACCGGTTACACGATCACTCGAGGATCGTACGTTAAACTTCGTTACTTGCGACATCGTACACTCAGCGCTATCATTTACGACATCAGACCCGCGGCTCCTATGACGCGGTATATTTTGTATCGCGCAAAGCAAAGTACATAGATACTCAATTGTATGAGAATTCATAGAGTGTCGGTTATATGATAATTCATAGAGATGTCAGTTATATGAAAATGCACAAATGCTCAATTATATGAGAATATCAATATCATATGAGGATACGCAATAAATATATAAAATGTCATAAAATTATTGCACATTATATATCAATGAGACATTTCGCAACTCAATTGTCAAAAAGCATAATATATGAAAATATATCGCGTTTCCCGTTAATCCTTTGCGGTCCTATATCGATTCTATAATCTTTTATTCATTGATGATGTATTTAGTATAAATATATGAGTGCATTATTGTATCAATTAAATTTTTAAATATTTAAATAAACGTAAAAGACGCGATAATGTCACAAAGTAAATGAATTTTCATGAATTGGTTGAAAAAACAAAAGTTTAAAGCAACTCAGACCGCAAAGGGTTATATCAATGCGATTTAGGCATGCATTATGTAGTATTACTAGTTATGTAATATTATATGACACTCTGTGAGTGTTGAATTTCAACACTCACCATCTCGTAGATGAAACGACCAGCGAGGTCCATTGACGTCCCATCAGGTCCACCCTGGTCCATTGACGGAACATCGCAGCATGCAGCCTCAGTCCGCGTCGTCCCACGTTGATTTATTTCACTCGCGACGCGATTTATATTCACGTTTTAACGACGTTCACCGAGTCGACGACGATATCGACGAGAATTTTTATTTATCTCGCAATCTATTATTTTGATGCAATTCAATGATTTAACGGAATTAACGGACTCTATTACTTTGGTTAACGAAAGATAATATCGAGATCGGTTCAACGAATGTCTGTCTCACAATAATGATAAGTCCCGGTAACGAAAAGTCGCGGCACGAAAAGTCGAAGCGAAATATACCAATATATACGTGAGTGAAATAGTCGAGTCGACACTTTTCTTCTATATTAATTCTGCAAGTTCCGCTGAATTTGGAGTACACGTAGAGAATATGGAGATGTAATATTATACAGATATCTCTTCTTTTGATGCTTCGAAACTATTTAATATTCCATTATCTCAATAGTCTACCTGCATTTAATATTTATTTTGCAATACATAATAATGCATGTATATCAATTGTGTAAGTTCCTTAGCCTTAATTTGGAAAAGTAACATTAAGAAATAAGGAGTTATAAAAACAAAGATAGTATAAGTATATGGAAGCATTAATAAAGATTTAAATTTGGGTTTTGTATAAAAAATAACAACATTATATATACAAGACAATATATGACAACAAGAAGACTAAACACAAGTGAAAGAGCATTGACCAATTTAAAATAAGATTTGCAGAACTTGCGAAATTTAAATAAATTTCAAATTTCGACTCGGATAATCGACTACCGTAAGATTTCTATCTGCTGACAAAAACTATCGCGAAAAACATTTATGTCTTTATTGATAAGAACAGCAGAAACAACAATCGCGGCGCGATCGCGAAATTTACAGCACAAGAAATATTATCGCGATTTTCGCGCATTGTGTGCAATTCTAACGCTTGATTACTTCGCATTTCTATTTTGCGAAGTGCGACAGTCGAATTTTATTCGACGTCATTCGTACAATTGTAATAGAAAATTGATTTGTTGAACAAAGTATAGTGGTATGAACAAATAATAATGAGTCGTATATTTTAAAGATACAAAGCGCTTCACTAATATAGCTTGAAATTCTAAATCTTCATCTGTATAACTGAGTATTTTTTGTATAGAAATAACTTCTACGATAATAAATTCAACTTTAATTCTAAATTTAGATTAAAAATATCTAAAATGTCAAAAAAGAAAGAATAAAATTCAAATCAAACTAATAATGAGTCGAGTATTTTAAAAATACAAGGCTTTATTAATATAACATGAGATTCCAAATCTTCATCTGCATAACAGAATATTTCTTATACGAAAATAGTCTTTATATAATAATAAATTTTAATTTCATTCTAAATTTTTATTAAAAGTATGTAAAATATCAGGAAAGAAAGACTAAATTTCAAATTAAGATGTTAAAGATAAAGTATTAATAGCTGAGTTTTGGAATAAATTAAATCATGATAAAAAATCAGATAAAAAAATTAAAATTTATGTTAAGTAGTTGCTAACAATAGCTTTGGAATAATAATAAATTTGTAGAATATTTGTAATTTTGACTTAATTAACTACATTATAATAAATGACTTAATATCACATGTATCACGAATTCTTTTGTTTCTTTCTCTCAACACGTCATACTACTTTACTTCGCTCAATAGCATTTAAGAATATGCAAAATCTAACATGCAAATCTACAAGCAAAATAAATCGCATTGATTTTGTCGAAATTTCAGAGATAGACTCACCACCACCATAAATATTTTCCCATTTCTCGTACTCACCAAACGCAGAGTCGACCACACTCCGCTCTCAAGGTCTGAAACAAAACAATATAATTTTCTTGATTAGACTTACAGATTCTATTTAACGAACAAATGTAAATAGGAGTGAGATAACTCTTTGCGCGAACGTAATTCAAATTATTTTGACGACTGTATCTCGACTTTTGATCGCGAACGATCAACCGGAGAAGAGTACGAATAATCCATGAACTTACCTTCGAGTCGACTCTGCACTGCCCGAACCGGATCCTCCGGTACGGCATTCGCACCCACATCCACATCCTCCGGAATTACAGCTGCCCTCACGCTCCAGTCGCAAGCTCCGCTAGATCTAGAAAAAATACAATTTTCCTGATTAGACTTACAAATTCTATTTAGCGAACAAGCGTAAATAGGAGCGAGATAACTCATCGCGATCGTA